CGGCGGGGGGAGACGGGGGAGGAGGGGACCCACGGGAGAAGAGCTCGAGCTCCGCCCCGGCCACCTCTCGGGGAGGCGGCGCGAGGCGGATCTGGATGGAGGAAGGGGAGGGCGGAAGGGGGGCGGAGGCGGGGCGCGAGGCCGGCGGGCGGCGGCGGCAGGAGGGGAGGAGGGGAAACCCTAGCGCCTAGTCGCGGGCCTGGGCCAGAGTTTTACTACTGCGGCGCGCCTCCCCTGGTGGCTTTAGGATTTTACCCTCCCGGAATAAACAAGATCTGGCTTTGTTACTCCTCCCCTTAATCCCGTCCATGGCGGCTGGGATGGAAGGGGCAGCAAGAAAGCAGATCCGAGGCCCTCCACCGGGCTATTGCAGCCGTCACTTCGGATCCTTGGTCATGTGCTCTCCTCCCCCGTGAACTGGCCACCATGGTGGTGGGCTGGTGGCAGCAGTTTTGGTGGAGGATTGCTGCTGCTTGTACATGGATCTGAACCCCTGTTCTTTATCCTCTTCTTGCTTTGGTGTGCTTGTTCGTTCCATGGATCTGAACCCCTGTTCTCTTTTCATCCTTCAAAGTCCCTTCAGCTCTTCAACATTGGCAACTGTAACTTCCTGCTTTGACATTCTAATAAATTCCAGGTACAAGATTGACGATTGCAATACTAGTTGTGGCTCTGTGGATATTGATCCGCGGATTTCAGTGATCTACAAAGACACTGCTGGACTTGTGGGTACTGATGGCCCAAAGAAGGAGGTTGCCAGTTTGTTAACAGTCACCGAGAAGAAGCTCAAGGTGGTGTCCATCGTGGGATTCGGAGGACTGGGTAAAACTACCCTTGCTAATCAGGTGTATGATGATCTCGAAGGGCAATTTGATTGTAAGGCATTTATTCCTGTCTCTCAAAAACCAGACATGCCACGGCTTCTCAATAGCCTAAGATTAAAGCTTGGGATAAATGAGTCCTCTGGTATTTGTGAGGTGCAAGACATCATCGTCAACTTAGAGAATACCTTGCAAAAAAGAGGTATAGTTACATCTTTACTTCTACAAGCATTCTTGCATTTCTGCGGGATAGTTATGAGTAATAGTTTAACTAGATTTAAGTTTACACCCTATGTTTCCAAATGTATTTTGGTTGTCCACATATGAGCTTTACTATTGTTAGAGTACGTAATGGGCCTAATGGGCCCATTAGTCTTAGGGTTAATTAGAGATAAGGGTCGCTTGCTTAGGGTTCAAGTAAACTTTGCTTGGGAGTCAAGTAAACCTCTCTATATAAATAGAGCAGATGTATCAATCTAATCAAGCAAGAATTAAGAAGGAAATCCCTTCCCTCTTGCCCGGCCGTGGGCAAAAAGGCCCCCGGCCGGCCCTCTCGCGCCCTACTTCTAGCAGCGCCATAACAATTTGGTATCAGGTAGCTCAGTTCCGATCATGTCTTCGCCGCCGCCCACCCCGTCGCTTCCGCTGCCGACCGTCACCACCACGCCGCTGGCCATCTACACCGCGTCGCTGCCCTCCCCGTCCGCGCTGCTGGCCATCTACACCGCGTCGCTGCCCTCCCCGTCCGCGTCGCTGGTCGCATCCTCCGGCGTCGCCACCACCCAGATGCCGGCGCCCTCCACCGCACCACCGGCCGCCGCCTACACCCCGGAGATCACCGGGGTCCTCAACGACCTCGTCACAGCCGTCCAGGGGATCCGGCTGTACCTGGCCAGCCCCTACGGGCCGC